AGAGACGCTATTGAAGACTAGTCGTTACAAACCATTTAAAGCAAACCTTTAATATCTAAGGAAACCGATTTCTTTGCCTGATGCAATTTCCTATAGGTACCAATCGGAATCAAATCGTTGATATAATACGGCGTCATTAATAAATCATATTCATTAAACGTGGAATTATGAAAATTTTAAACTGCGTATACCTCCATTTTTGAAATGGAACTCAGGGTAACCGGAAGTCATATTGCTTTTATACCAAAAAAGATTTTCGTTCTTGGTTGCGATAAATCAAAACGTTACAAAAAATTACCACGCGAATTATTTATTTATTTCATGCTTCCAGCTATAAATAAGAGACAGAATCAGGTTCATTTTTATGCATATTCTTTTGCTGGTCTACTACGTAGTTTTTGAGAATATAGTTTGTATTAGGTGATTGACCGTAACGTAACGTTTCATGCCAGTTGGTTTTAAATTAATTATTAGGATGTATAGGTACTATCGGGTCACAGTTTTGTCATGTTTTGATAATGTGGAATTTTTTTTAATTAAAGCCAGCTTTCAGCTTGAAAATCATAGCAATACCTATGACGTTTTTAAAACCCGGCAGAATTTGCATTTCTGCTCTTTGTTAGCTTTTCTTATGCCTTAACTTCAGGAGAAAACCAACAATGTCACACATTAATAAACATTATTAGGAAATAATAATAGATACTTATTGCATTTTTTTTATGTGAGGTATACCCACGATAATTCTAATTGTCACATCTTGTACGGTGAACGAAATTGACCTTACTTTTACACAACATCAAAAAAGCTCAAAGTTCTTACTGACGTTGCAGGAGCAACCAACGTCCAAAAGGTGAAAAGGTGAAGCAGGATGAAGGGACGTAGAGGACACGTTAACCGGATAAACAGCTGGATGATCAATAGCAGGCTGGTGCCGGAAAAGACAAGTGTAGCAATCTTGACGGGCAGAAGAAGATGACCAGAGGTAAATATCCAAATATTGGGCGTAGCAATTACGGCATAGAAGACTATAAATGTACTGGAAACATTACCTTTGAACGGGTCCGGAAAGGTAGCAATGAGTGTTAACTAGACTACAGGATTTTGGAATTCCGCCCCAGTCAATTAAGTAAGCACTTTGTGGTTCAATGGTAGAGCGTTGGGCTATAAAGTCGGAGGTCGGGTGTTCGAACCTGAACTGAGGTAAGTATTTAGATGGGAATTTCCTTAGACCAGTTTCGAGCATTCGCCGGCTACTCCGAATTAGATTTTCCTGCAGTTTTCATAATTCATAAGGTAAATACCGCAGTAGTGTAGAACTTAAGACCTTCTGCAGATGCATCTCTTAAAAGCATTAAGCGGGTCACTCTGTAATTGGGCGCAAGCCTGTTGAGGGCTCAGAACAAGAGAGAATAAATAAATAAATAGCAGTAGCTAATTAGATGTGTTGCAGTAAACCGCATCTGATTAGGTCGTGTATCTTTCGAATTTTATAAAAGGTACGATCTAGGCGATCATTGTTGTATTTTTAACATGGACGGTGAAACTTATGGTTTTTGTTTAGCGTACATTTCATTTAACCGTTCCGTTTAATTTCCGGGTAAGGGATTGATATTTTCCGTTTCGTGAAAATCATCAAGGGGGTTTTGTTCTGCTTCGCTGCATCGTGATTTACCCATAGACACCCATAGTTAATTTTTTTGCCGTTCTCATTAGAGAATTGGATACAGTTTTGTGTGCTATAACTCTGTCTTTTTTAGATTGGTCGCCAGTGAACGCCCGTCATTTTCCGACAGGATCCCTGGAGGTTTTCGTTTTCTCCATGACTACCTTGACTTGCGAACCTCCGCAACCGCAACCGACCGTACTTAACCAGAAGCAAGCTTTGAGGATCTCCTGGTGGCGCTCGAGAATACCGTACCGCTCCGCCGGCTTTCACCGTCTAAGCTTAGAATTAATTTTATTTATATTTTAATTAAACGATAACTTTGTTCCAAATAATTCTCCTGTTTAATTTTCAAGGCACTGTTTTGCGCGGACCAGTGTTCTTCGCAATTCATATTAAATTGGCCCAGTGCAGTGTCAGTACTCCGCAGAAAAGAAATCCTTTTACTAAGAGAATAAGAGAATTCTTAACCCCTGTAGAGATGCGCTAACTAAATGAAGATAGAGGAATGCTCTAAAACTCACATAAAAGCGTAGCGCCTTTAATGTGTTACGGTTAAATTCGCATAGGCAGCTATCCATCCACTGACCGATTTCACGAATTGCTCCAATTAGCTTTTCTGTAACTAGGTATTGTTTTTTAAGTCGTTTTATAAATCATCAACTACCATAAGCCAAGAAAAAGGTTTAATCGAAATGAATTTAATTCACAAAATTGACGTAAATTATGAATTAAAAAACTAATTTTTGTGGTTTGAATGAGTAGGCTCTCCAACAGTAAGAGTAGATAAAGATGATCACTTGAACGGCAAGGATACATAAAGTATATCTAATGAGTGTGCATTCTAGTGCCATCTGTCAATCTTATTAAAGGACGCGAAGCACGAAATGAAATGAAGATCAGAACAGAAAACAGTATTGTTCCCAAGGAAACGACAGCAGAACTTAAACTGGTTATTTTTGAGATTACGTTAAATCGAAAATTTTCCAAAGTTTTATAATTATTGATATGGGTTCTGCTTGCGGTTTGTATTATACACGACAATAATCGTAAAAGTTATTTCCCTCGGTGGCTAAAACATCCCTTGTCTTGTATAAGTAAGTAATAAATAACTATATAACGGGTGGTGCACGGTAAGTAGGAACATAGGGATTTAACATGGGAAATTAGTTTTATGAAATATACTGTTCTCCTGTACATTTTACACAAAAAACTGTAGAGTTTAAATTTGTTCAGAATTAAAAGGTGCATACAAAATGTTTTTACATGTTTTATTAAGCTTTTGGTATATACGCAAATAAATTTCAACATTTCTGTTATTAGTAACTAGCCATTCAAAAAACAACAAAACTCATGGCTATTGCTACTAATAACATAAATATTGAAATTTATTTTTAAATTTGCGTATATACCAAAAGCTTAATAAAACATGTAAAAACATTTTGTATGCATCTTTTAATTCTGAACAAATTTAAACTCTACAGTTTTTTCTGGAAAATATACAGGAGAGCAGGATATTGCATAAAACTAATTTCCCATGTTAAATCCTTATGTTCCTACTTACCGTGCACCATCCGGTATAATTTCCTCATCGTAACAATTTGACTTGTTTATTTATGTTATAATCGGTTTGATCTTACCGATCGCATGACTTTTATATCACTAAAAAGATTGGAGATACTCCGACCTGGTAATAAAAAAAATCAGTAGCGTGCGAAAGGCCCCCAAAATTAGATTCGTATAGTCCCTCTTGAACGATTGTACTTTTCAGGACAAACATACAAGTAGCGTTTTACATAAGTCGTTTATGGGATTCAGCTACTAAAATTTGCCAAAACTTATTTAAATCGGTATTAAATTAAACATTTTACGACATTAATAACTGATATTAGTATGCATAATGTATTCAAACAAAGTATAAAATTAAAATAAAACCTTCCGGTACGTTTACGTTCTAGTGCTGCGGCAGTATAATGATAATTAACTAAATCACTATAAAGATTTTTTATAGATCCTACATTTTTTTCTTTTTTCTTTCATTCATGACTATATGAAATTTATGAACTTCGCATTAGCATAAACCTACATAACGAAATTGATTCTGGTGTTAATAGTTTTTAATTTACATATAGCAAAGGAATGAATGGAGTAATTAGCTATACATATGCCGATATGGATAAACATAGCTTTATGGCCGTTACACAAATGTAACTTTAACCATTAAAAATCTCGAGGTAGGTTTTATTACCAAATGCCTCCTTGTCACAGGTAAGACCAGGAAATTAGATTTAGGTTCCTATAATGGAATTCTCGATAAATGCCCGCTACAATATTGCACAATTGCCTGATTTATAATTTGAGCTATTGTAAATAATGCGAAACGTTTCGGAACGTTTATTATGCGGCGGCCATGTTTAAATTAAGCATTAATCTACACCATTAA